AAATTACAATACATTGTTGTATTCCTACTTTAAACAGTATTTGTTCTAAGAAAGACAAAATAATCCCTCCCTCCTTATAAACAATGTTAAAAACATAAAAAGATCCCAGAAGTGCAATAATGCCATCCATGATGGGGGGAAAGTGCATGATATTCTTCCTTCACACAGGTATGTAAAGAGCATCCAAATCATGCAGCTCTCCCACTCCTACTAACTGTGGCTGTACAAACTTCTGCTTTTCATCATCAATGTTGGTGTCTCTTTGAAAACAACAAAAAAATATAAAATATTGTACATGAAATGGTGATGAATACTCCAGTTTTGAGTTCCCTATTGCAGTGTTAGCCTCAGTTGCATGCAATGTATTCTTTAGCATTGCTACAGCCCGTGGTAATGATTTTAGAAATGTATACAAATAAATAATACAATTTCTTTAGAATTCCACGGGTGTTGTTCTAAGTACTGAATAATTTACGCACAATCGAGGCTCACCCAAAGCAAAAGGGAACTCGAAACTGGAGTATTGGGATAGCCCACTTTCGATATCCTGGTTGAATGATATTGCATACATCTTATGAATATCTTATAAGGTTTGGCTTAAGTTGGTTAAAGAAAAAAATATTACCTGTGACATCAGTCTTGACCAGACAAAGCAGCCTCCATAATTGTAAGATGTTTTCGCATCTCTTTATTTTTTCCAGGATATGTTATAATCTAAAGTGGATTGATAAATTCATTTGTTAATTTACCGCTGCTACAAAGAATGTGGATAGAAAGAAAATAAAATACTTAATAAAGACTACAGGAATATTTTTTCCATAGAACCACAACAAAAGATTAATGAAGCACAGCTGGTGTTATTAAACTATGAGGAATAAATACCTTCAGTAGCATTCTTATCGTTTTTCTGTCTCGTGTTTGAGGTCTTCTGTGGGAAATCATTTTTGCTCTTGGTTGCACTTGTGGAGGGTTTGGGATGAACGGTCTCTACATGGACTCGCAACATTGGTACACTCTGGAATTTTTCACCACATTGATTGCACGAGTACTTGTGTTCCACATCACGAAGTTGATGGATCTGCTCATGTCTTTTTAGATGATGCTTTAATTTGAACTTTTTTCGACAAGAATCACACAAAGTGTCTTTTCCTCTTTCTTATGAACAAGACCATGTCTTTTGAGGTGGTAGGCACGCTTGAACGATTTTCCGCAGATATGGCAATCGAATGCTTCGTTGCTTCCGGCTTCCTAAACAAAACCACAAAATCACTAGTAAGAGGTATTAACAAACCAAGCAGTACTGAGACACAACTTATTAGTAAACCTACCTTTGTGCCTTCTCCAATTTGATTCTCGACTTCTTCGGGCAAACCTTTGTGCGAACCTTCCACACTTTCAGGAGGGCTGAACACATTTTTCTGGAAAAAATATACAATGAAATGAGTTGCTTGCAGTTGCTGCAGCCGCTATTCGGCGTGACGCCATCAAATCTATCTTGAAGTTCTTAATTTCTTTTCTCGATTTTTGACATTTCTTCATTATATTCTCTGAGCCAGTCCGCATCAGCAAGTGGTTCAGAATAATATGGCCCTACCAATTCGGGAGATTCAGACCTGGGGTAGCTATGGTCTGACTCGTGTGTTTCAGCATGTTGATGGCATTCGTCCTCGATTTCTCCATCCTCTTCCTCTGAATATACACTTGAAATCTCGCTTTCAGAGCTGCAATCACTCCTGTAACGGTTCGTAGCCATCTTGTGGATTTATATATTGAAATTTATGTTTTTTTGAAGGAATGAAGTCACTAGAAGGTCAATGTTTACAATACTTTGTCTACTCGTATCCTTGACAATCGCTTTTCTCGGTTCTTGAATTTACGCTTAGCAGTCTCCCAAAACACGGCCTACACAACTGGGCGTCGCCAGAAATCTAAGTTTGAAGACTGATTTTGAGGTGAAAAAAATTCGAAATCGAAATTCTTTTTTACGAATACTTATCTTTATCTGTTCCGTGCCACATCGTTTGGTTTTTTTTTTGTTTTTTTGTTGTTTTTTTCCCCCGACACCTTGCCCTGAAAACATTTTAATTCCACCATATTTATCCATGAAAACTGGAACATGAAACACCATGGCATGCATGTAAGGAGTAAATGGTTGTGAATGCTAAGAATTCAGAGGCTTTGTCCATAAATATGCCTAATGGTCTGTTTCCTTCTCCTGCTGCAAAACGTAGTACCTTTTCAACATTTTCAGTCATATCTGGTTCTTGTAATAAAGTATCTGTAACACCTGAAGGTCTTTCTTCTACTTCACACCAGTCATCATTGTCATCATTATCATTAATATTGGAGGCAGTGACAGTTTCATGGACTATTTGTTCAGGACGTTTATAAGGTTCTTGTGTAGTCTTAGCAGTGTTTGCATAAACAGAAGGATCAGCTGAATGCATTTCAGGATCACTGATACTAGAATGTAGTTTGTTTAAAAACTCTTCCCATTCATCACTTTCACTTGTGCCTGAAGCTGCAGTATTAACATTATCTAGCCAGTTTTCCTGAATTTCTATGTTCTTTTTAAAAGAAATCACTTGCCTTCACCAAGTATTTTGCTGCTTCTAACACTCTTGCCAATCAAACATTCTGAAACTGGTAATGATGCTTGTAACTTAGTCGTCGTTTCAGTTTGAATGGGATGGTTTGTGATTCATTGATAGTTCTTGGTAGTGTGTTTACAGTTGAACTCACATCAGCTGGTACATTGACAACATTTCCGTGTATAGACAACTGACTATCTGTTGTTATCTTTGGCATATCTATGGGTAATCATAGAATTGCCTTCGCGTAACCCCTCAATAAATAAATACATGTCAGGGTCGGTGAGTAACTCTAATTCAACTCCAGTCATTTTTAAAAAGGCCAACCAGGATAATCCAGGACTCGTATAAAAGTGACCGGGGTCAAGTTCATATTATTCTAGATAGATGTCCCTGAAATTCTCAAATACGTCTGMAAGCAGTAAAACATCGGATTTTAAGTAGAGATCATGGTAGTCTACCAAAGCTCGACATTGGAAAGATTGAAACACACGTTGGGCATGTTCGTAATCTTCATCACTTATGTGCTCATCCTTTAAAGTACTATAAAACCGATCCTTCGAAGGTAGCACAAGTTCTTCGAATTTTGAGAAACTATCCATATACTCATAAGGATAGACCCCCTTACGCAGCAATAGAGAGACTTTATCCACCTCTACATACTTTTTGAGAACCTTAAACTTATCATCCCCTTCCCTGCTCAGATTGCCAACTAGTTTTTCCAATAAACTATTTTAAAATTGTAAAGAATCTATAAAGACTAGGTTTCCCACAGAAAAAGAGATATACTTTTCAGTATTATTAGGGATGCAGGTGATTTTTTCTGATTTAAGTTTCCCCAACCCTTGCATAATAAGATGACTGTCATACCCGCGAAGACTATGGAGGACGA